TTTTAACATCTTGAGAGGATTATAAGCAATTTATGGATTTCATGTGATGAGTGCATTTGCCACTATTCCCACAAAGCATTTACGGGATCATGTTTCTAAAGCTTTGATGTAATTAAAAATCAACCTGGAGACAATGGGGCTGAGGCTGGGTGCTCACGATCCCTTTTGTCATTTCTGAGGACCTGGGTTCTCAGGCTCCTGGAAGACTAGAGCTTCAGGCTCATTAGTGTTCTACCGCTGCGGAGGGAGCGCCGACGTTTTGGATACGATGAAGAAATCAACGCAGCTACCCTCGGGGGGGTCAGGCAGCCTCATCCATTGAACATCTAAGACGGGATGTGAAGTACATTGATTACTTCAATTCATTTCATGAGCTCAATAGAACCTCCATTCACTTTATGAAATACTTCTGAGCTGAATTTGGTCCATCAGCTAATTGTGGTACTGAATTTTCCCAAGCAGATAAAATGCTTACAGTATATAGCTCTTTAGTTTTAGAATAGCTAATTCCTAGCATAGAGGATGATCTGAACTCGGTAAGGTTTTGCTGAATGGGGGTTTCTGTTTAACAAAGAAATTGCCCGGCTATCAAAAAGTATAGCGTCTGGGGTCTTAAAGGCTCGAAGATAAACAAGCGGCCATCAAGCTCAGAAGCAACAAAGCCCACATGGAAGAAGCACACCAGCCTATGCAACCACGAGGTGTCGAAGGAATCAGGTGTAAGGCATCATCAGAACAAAAAATCTTACCATAGTGAATGATGGGGGGAGTGCAGAGTGGAGACCCAAAGCCCATTAGTAGGCCACTGGAGATCCCCTTGCAGAGGGGTCTCGGGGAGGAGATGAGCCAGTCAGGGTGCGATGTAACAACGATGAAAAATACAACTTTCCTCTAGTTCCTAAATGTTTCCTCCCCGCTCCCACTACCATGACTCAAATTCGACCTTGCAAGTCTGGCTAGACCAGAGGATGTACACTGGTAGGGATAGGAACTGAAAATCCAGGGAATCCAGGGCGGATGAGCCCGACAGGACCAGTGGTGTGAGTGGCGAAACAGGGAGGGTAAAGGGAGAATGGGTAGGAAAGAGGGAACCGATTACAAGGAACTATATGTGACCTCCTCCCGGGGGACAGACAACAGAAAAGTGGGTGAGGGGAGACGTCGGACAGGGCAAGATATGACAAAATACCAATTTATAAACTATCAAGGGCTCATGGGGGAGGGGGGAGCGGGGAGGGAGGGGAAAAATGAGGACCTAATGTCAGGGGTTTAAGTGGAGAGAAAATGTTTTGAGAATGATGTACAAATGCACTTTACACAATTGATGTGTGTATGGATTGCGATAACAGTTGTATGAGCTCCTAATAAAATGTTTTAAAAAAAAAAAGAAATTCCTATTTAGGACCATGTTGCCCAAAAAAAGGTACTCTCTCATCTATCTAAGGAAGAACAGGGTTTTTGGTTTGGGAAGAATTAAAATGATGTAGGAAAATGTTTATGAACTTATTCTTATAAAAGAGGATGGTTGTCATCAAGCTATGTGTATGAAAGTCTTTCTGACATGAAACTATCCATTAAAAATGAAAATGGAAGGAAAACTTGGTGGGGTGGATATGTTTCAAGAAAAATCCTTGCAATTATTTGATAATTGATGAGGCTATCAATCCTGTTGGTTTGAATATTACAGTTGAATTGAGGCTGTTGGCATACAAATGCCAACTTCTAAAAAATTCAAATAAGTGTGGCTGGCAACAATTCAATGCTGACACTGGTTAAGTAGTAGAAGAAATTTCCTTTGCTTTGTAGCCTGATTTATTGCAAAAATTTTCCTGGCACAGTTTTAATGTACCTTCCCTGGGCTTTCACAACTCTGTAGTTAACATTCATTGTCCACTCCAAATGATTTTCCATTGAATCTTGTATAGAGTTCACCGATTCTATTGTGTTTTCGGTTGCTTTTTAATTGCCAATGTTCTCTCTGACTTCCTGGTTTTAAGAGCAGGAGTCTTTATTTCAGAGCGTGCAGTGTAGACGAGGCTTTCTACTCCCATGAAGAGTTAGTCTTGGAAACCCACACGGGCAGATGTAGCCTGCCCTACAGGGTCTCTATGAGTTGAAATTGCCTCCATGGCAGTGATTTGGTTTGGTTTGGGTTGGGCAGTGTCAAATCTATGGGGTTCCTGTGTAATGCAAATGGTTAAACGTCAGACAGAGTGACCCTATGTAGCCTTTCTGAAAACATACATCTTCAGGGCAACAGACAGCCTCAACTTTCTTCTTGGAGCAGCTGGTGGGTTTGAACCACTGACTTTTTGCTTAGCAGTTCGTTTTGCTAAGCTGACAGTGCCCACTCAGAGGTGCTTTAGAAGAAAGGCCTACTGATCTGCCTCGATAAGATTCTACTCTGTAAATCATGGATTTGCCTTGAGTCATAATCAACTCAATGGCAACTGGCTGGATTTATAATCTAGTATCTAGAACACAGCAAGAAGCAACACCTGTTTTAAGGAATGTACCAACATTATGATTTTCTTACTGATGGGGGGAGTGAATGGCCTGGGGAGATTTGTTACCTTCCTCATGTCTCACATGTGGGCATTACAGACATCCCTCAACTATCTTCCAGGGATGCCATGGGAACCAGATGAGTAACAAAGTGTAGTTAGTTTAGATTTTAAAGCAATATTACTCACAGCCATTGAGTCCATGCTGACTCACAGTGACCCCTGTGGGTTTCTGAGACTGTCAGTTTATGAGAGTGAAAAGACCAGTCTTTCTCCCAAGGAACTGCTGGAGGTTTTGAACCTCTGACCACACAGATTGCAGCCCAACATATAACCACTATACCATCAGAGCTGCATTTGAAGCACCATTACAAATGTAAAATTGTATTGTGTAAAACATTGTTTCATTTACTTGGGAAGGTTTTCACTGTAAATGAGAAAAGATATAAGGAACAAATTTGATTACCTGAATTAAATGTAGAGTTTATGATCAAAATACAGATTTATATTTTCACCTGTGCAGGTCAGCCCATGCTTCTCTTAGGAAACTGACAGGCACATTTGGTCAAGGCCTTTCTGCATTCAGTGTGTTTTGTTATATGTGGGGCATGCCCTTTCCCAGGCGTGGGCTCACTGGAAGGACTCCCACTGAGGAGGCTTTGGAGGAGGGGGTGTCGACAATAACAAAAGAGTAAACTTTAAAAATATCTTGCACATGTTCTCAGAACTCAAATTTATAAAACTGTTAGTGAATGTTCAATGGCCCCAAATAATAAACTAATCTAGTTTGCCAGAGGGTTCTTTTCTAGAAAACATGAGTCATAATGTTACCTCCTCTATGGCTTTGTTATGGGAATAAAATTATATCATGCTTACAAAGTACTTAGGCCAATATTTGGCATGTATTAAGCTTATTTCAGAGTCCTAGTAGTGCAGTGGTTATGCATTGGGCTGTGAGCCACAAGGTTAGCAGTTCTAAACCACTAGTCATGCTGCTGGAAAAAGATGAGGCTTTCTACTCCCATAAAGAGTAGCACTTAGAAACCCCCAGGGGCAGTTCTATGACTCAGAGTTGACTTGATGGCATTGAGTTTGGTTGGATGTGACAAGGACTTTCTAGGTGTTACAGACACGATGGACCCTAGTGGTGGTGTCAGCAAGAATTAGACTGCTAACCTCGAGTCTGTTGGTTCAAACTCATCAACTGCTCTCCTGGAGAAAGGAGAGGCAATCTACTCCCTAAGATTAACTGCTTGGAGGACTCCAGGTAGGGTCGGTCACTCCTGAGTTGGAATTTGCTTGAGGGCAGTGGGTTGGTATTGGTTAGGAGTTACAGAGATGCAGTGATTAAATGCTTAGCTGCTAACCAAAAGACCAGCTCTTAAAACCCACCAGCTGCTGAGCTGGAGACAGAGAAGGCAGGCAACTTCTGTAAAGTCTACCTCGGCTGTAGGGTGGCCATGAGTTGGAATTGATTTTTTGGCAATGGGTTTGTTTGGCTTAGAGATACAGCACTGAATGACGTAGACACAGTTCCTGATCTCAATTTCAGTGGAAGAAGCAGCAAAAAGACGAATTATAACTAAAAAGCCAAATTATCAAGCATTGAGATGCCTAAGAGAAAAATAAAACAAGATGAGGTGATGGCCAGTTAGAAAACCTACTGTAGCCTGTGTGGACAGAAAAGACAATTTTTTTGGAAATGACATTTAAGTGAAAATATGCTAATTACTATTCATAGTAACTTTCAATAGTATTTATCTAACACAGTGGTTCTCAACCTTCCTAATGTCACAACCCTTTAATACAGTTCCTCATGTTGTGGTGACCCCACCCCCCACCCATAACATTTTTTCCGTTGCTACTTCATCACTGTAATTTTGCTACTGTTAGGAATTGAGTGACTCTTGTGAAAGGGTCGTTTGATCCCCAAAGGGGTCGTGACCCACAGGTGGAGAACCGCTGATCTAATAATATATTACTAAATCTCCCTATTACAGTATACTATTATATTACTAAAAATAATCATAAGTAATGTTATGGGTTAAAACAATACAGTGACAATTAATTACTATTAATAACAAAGTCTCATTCAGCCAACTGTCAATTAGCTGCATGTATTAATTTCCCCCTGCTCCTAGTACATTCTTTTCTAGCCTAGTCCCATTAGCTATCAGGATATCCTTGGGGAATAAAAATGCATTTTACTGTTTGTCTTAAAAAGGAAAAAAAAGTTCAGTCTGAAGCAAAAACCCTACACTTAGTGCATATCAAAGCCAAACATAAATTATTTCTGAAGTTATCTTCTATTGTGGCTTATTGCTGCCAGTGGGGGCTCTTCTATTAGCATGGATAAGTGGGACCTGACCATATGTCAAGAGTACACGTCCTTTTGAAGTGACCTCATCTATCAAACACATGCCCCTGGGATGCTTTTTCCCACTAACCACAATGACAGACTCCTCCAGTAGGTTTTCCCATGTTTTTGTTTTTCACCTGTGACCGTATGCTGCCGCCTGTCAGTGACATCCGTGTAGATGAGCCCTTTCCCAGCCTGCCAGAGCCGGTACTCTTTAATGACACCATTTGGTTTCTCGGGTACAGTCCAGCTCAGATGTAGAGCCTCCACACTGGTGGCTCTGATTCTCGGGGGCAGGACGCTCTCTGGGACTCCTTGGGTAGTGGCTGCGAGTACCTGAAGACAGAGAAATTAAACAGCAATTGACTGCAATAGCACACCAGGTATTCCGATCAATGAGAATGTCACTTTTGTTACTTTTGTTTTAAAATGTTGTCGTCCGGCCTGGCATATCATTAACAGGGGCTTGGATAAGCAGTCCCCCTCTCTTTTCATTCTTTCCCTCCCATTCTATTTAAACAATGAATTCTGACCTTGAAGACATTACATAAGTCTCAGACTCCCGTTTATCACAACAGGTTCAACAACAATTTTGATGGCAGAGTGCAGCCCTCAGTTTAAACAAGTAAAATCTGGCTGACAGACTGTCTTACTAGAAAACTCTTGATAACTCTCTTCCATATGCTCCACCAGTGTCTTTGCATTTTAACAGCCTGATTTGGGGTGTTTTAAGCACCAGTAAATATGGAGCAAAATCTCTCTCTGAACTTGCATGCATATCATATGCTTTGAGCAGTAGAAACGGACAGGCTCTCTGTACTCTTCCTGCGGTGCTGAGGGTGACTTTATAGCGTCCGTGCCCATGTTCCAGGGAGAAAAAGAGAGAGAGAGAGAGAGAAGAAAAGAAATGGCTAAATCAGCCATCTAGTTAGTTACTCAATATTGCCAAAATATAGCTTTGAATGAAAATTGCCTGGGCATTTTTTCTTCCCACAGAATTAACTCTGATTTTACTCTAGCCAATCGCTTTGGTGCCTGGTAGGCATGAGACCAATTCTATGCAAAATGCATGGCATTATTCTAGCCTATTCAGACCAGTACTTCTACATGGCCAATTCACTGCCATCTGTCCAAAGGGAGGCATACACCTAGATGCTTCTGGGGGTCTGTTGACCCAAAGTTGCACCCACATATGGTGGCCAGGCAGACAGACTAAATGATAGACTCGGATGGTTCCTGCTCACTGTGTGAAGGCACTGCTTTTCGGAAAGGCTAATCCTAGAAGAGACTAGGAGCTTCTGGGTGAGTTTGTCTCTTCATGGGCTACCTCTGTCTTGTGGCCTAGGTTGAGATGGCTCTTTCCTTCTGATTGCTGTTCGCCGCAGTTGAGGTTGACCACGCCTCATGGGGAGCCCACGCACAGTAAGAGGAAACACTGTCAGTCCTGCACCATCCCCAGGTAGGTTTCAGATTGGCATTGTGAGCCCTAGGTTTTCACCGGCTGGTCAACTTGTGCAGTGCCATACTAACCCCCAAATCTCCACGGATGGAGGAGGAGTTGTGCCTGAGAGGCACTGGCGGAGACGCAAACTCAGGTCTTGTGCATGAAGTAAGAATTCTCTCACTAAGTCACCAGTGCCACCCACATACTCTCCTTGGGTGCTCATACTCAAATTCAGCCTTCCCCTTTCCTTGCAGACCTGTTTAGCATACTCCACTCCCACTGCCATCAAGCTGATTCTGACTCATAAGGGAATAGAGTTTATGAGGTTGTGAATCTTTAAGGGAACAGGTAGCCTCCTCTTTCTCCAGAGGAGCTGCTGAGGAGTTTGAACCACTGTCCTTGGAGTTAGCAGGCTAACTCAGCGATGCCACCAGGGCTCCTTTGGCATACCCCAGTCACTCCGTTATCTTTATACTAGGAATGTCATTCAAAGTGTCCAATAAATAATATCTCCTTCCCCACATGTTCTGAGATCTAGTTCTCTTCTTTTATTTAAACTTTCATCTTCTTATTACTTTATTTGAACTTTTTTTCCTTAAAAAAAAACTTGCTTGCAAAACAGCTCTATTAACCACAAATTGCTCGAGCTAGACCTCTTGAAAATATCTTTGCCTCTTTCCATTTATTGCTCTACCTAAACTCTGCTTTCCTGTAGGTTCCATATTCTAACATGGTCAGCAGCTCTCTGATTTTCTGCATGCCTACCTTGAAGCTTACGTTCAGTTCTTCCCTACGTTTGGTCTGGTCTACCTCTGTGGCTATTTTATCTGCTCTGCTGGGTTCTTTTACCTTTTCTTCCAATTTCAAGGGCAGGAAACCTTGAGTAAAATATTTAACTTGAAACACACTTAAGGAAAGAATGGCTTGGGAAAGATTATGGACTTCTAGAACGCTGCCTTAAAAAAATACGAGGGGAGAAGAGTGAAGGGCGATTATCTCGGTTAGTGTTTGCTTGTGAGAGTTTACTAATAAAAGAGAAATGTTTGCATTAATTTCTTTCCCAGTGGTCACTGAAAAATGATTAATATATAGAGGAATTAACATTTAAACACCCCATTTAATGGCACATATACACACCTATATGCATGTATAGATACACACATACATGGGAAATCCATATATACACATACATGTGTATGTATGTATGTGTGTGTGTGTGTGTGTGTGTGTGTGTGTTTATTTATTCCCCTGAACACTCTTTCTAAGGTTTCAGAAAACTTCTCCTACCTTGTTGCTGGCAGTACAGCCAACAGCTGTGCAGGCTTTCAACTGGTATGAATATTCCTGAAATGACTGAATTCCCTTTGTGTCAGAGAAGCTCAAAGATGTTCCACGAAAGCATTCAATTCCATTTCGGAGAAGAATATAGTAAATAATAAGACCTAGAAGAGCCAGAGAAAATTATAATTTTTAGCGTCATATCATAAAATATTTGCAAAAAACTTACATGTGTTAGTGTTCTGAAGAAATGGACTATTATAGCATTATTTAATCTTAATTTGCTATTATATTGCTATGCTCTAGCAATTCTTAATTATACACACTATTTGGAGGGAATAGATTAGTGACATAGATAATCAAAGCCATTTATGCTTGTTTTCCCTTTCCACCAAACAAATTTGCTTTCAAGATGAAAATTATGCTGCCTTCTCTGGACTTGCTTTATTGGAAGTAGCATACAATTATGCTGAAATTCAAGGAAATTTTGTTTTGTTTTGGCTAAAATTCATGACAAAATAATATTCCATAAAGTGAATGTTTAGTTGGCACAAAATGGAAATTTTTTGTTTTATACCAAAAATACTTTTTAGTGGTTAGATACATGCCAACTAAATGTATATTATACTAATTTTAATTTCCTTATGGGCTCATGGGGATGGGGCAGGTACTGGGGAGGTAGGTGAGTTGCATTTTCTCTATTTGAAAAGTAGCTCAATACCATTTGATTGTATTGGCTTTTTCCAGTTCAACACTATTACATCTTGCAGATGGTCCACTGTGGTCCACCTGGGCGGACTCACTCCTTGTGGCACATCCTCCTTAGTTCTTGCTCTAACGGCTTTGCTGAATCCTCGGCCATAGCCATTCCACGCAGAGACCCTATACTCATACATCCTATAGGGTTCCACGTTTACATCTGAAAAGAGAGAAATCTGACAGTGAGCTCCCCCTTTTCTTAACACCACATTAATAAATGAATCCCCGAACATTTGAATACTTGAATGAATAATAATCTAATACCATTGTGTATAGATATGGCCATTTTCTACACAATAAAAAGAATTCAAATTGTTTTTGCAGATAAGGAGTTGTATAGAATGAAATTCACCTTTCCTCATGAGAAAAATATGGGTACATTAAGAAAAAAATGACAAATAATTGGTATATAACAAAAAATACAAACTAATTGCCATTGAGTTGATTCCAACTCACAAGGACTGACTGTACAGGCAGTATAGAGCTACCTCTGTAGGCTTCCAAGACTAACTTTTTATGAAAGTAGAAAGCCTCATCTTTCTCCTGTGGAGTGGCTAGTGGTTTTGAATGGTTGACCTTGAGATTAGCAGCCCAACTCGTTGCCACAATACCACCAGGGCTCCTTGATATGTCGTTTAATGTGAATAGATTAAGGTACAGCTAGAAGTTAATGCTACATCAGTCCATGAATCTTCTACTTCTGCATAGGAAAGGGTTGCCAATATTGTTTTATACTTTTATTTATGTTCAACATTATCATTCATTGCTTTCTTTTTGCCATTATTTATTTTAAAGTTACTTGGTTAATATTACTTAATTAAATTATTATTATATAGATGATAATGTCATTGTTATGAGACATTGGCCTGGAGAAATTATTTTTTTTTGTTTGTTTTGTTTTTTTTTTTTTTAATTTTTAAACATTTTATTAGGGGCTCATACAACTGTTATCCCAATCCATACACACATCAATTGTGTAAAGCGTATTTGTACATCATTTCTCAAAACATTT